GCTTCACCACGGTTGCTGCATCCACCGTCCGGGGGTTAGAAAAGGGTTGTCGGGGTTGTTCGCTGTTTCGCGCGGGTTCCTGCGAGTCCGGAGGGGTAACTCGCGGGTCCGCGGGGCTAAGTCGTGGGTCCGCGGGGGTAGCTCGCGGGGCCACGGGGTGACTCGCGGACTACCCCCGCGTGGCAGGATATGCCGACGCGAGCTACCACCGTGGCAGGATCCGAGAGCCACCCCCGCGGACCCGCGAGTTACCCCCGCGAACTCGCGGATTCACCCCGTGGACTCGCGGGAACCCGCGCGAAACCGCGAACAACCCCTTTGTAACGCCCCTGGGCGTTGGCTGCAACATCAGTAGTGGTGGAGCGACGCGTTGGCGCTTGGAGCCGGTCTCCTGCGCCTGGTGGGTATGCAGTCCCGGATGGAGCCGTGCGGGCGGGTTGCATAGTACAAAAGTGCGCGGAGTGAATCAGCCACCTGGTACCTGGTACAAAGGGTCTGCCACTTCCATAATCCTCGTCACCCTCTAGATAATCATAGTGATTACCATAAAATCATAAACACTAAAATTTCAAAAATAATTATGGAAACTTACGACTTCTGTACGGCATTTATCATGTATTTCAAAAAATTTGCAATCTCGCGCATGAGCACATTTGCTCACCCCACTGCACTTGCACGACAAGCTTAGAATATAAAACTGAATTTTGCGGAATTTTGTTTAATGCTCTCCAAATGTTGGGGGAGAGAGTCACGTCTACTCGCCTGTCCTCCCCCACCGTGACTTCTCTGTTTTACCTCAACAGGACTGGGACTTTTCCCCTGTGGTTTCCACCCCGCCCCCCCTTCCTCACCCACCAGGCCGCCGGCCGGGTGGGGCGGCGCCGTGCTGGCAACGCGCTCGTGCCCCCCTTCACCTCTCCCTCCCTCTTCTCGTTCGCATCGCGCAAAGGCCCGCGGAGGACGGACTGTTGGAGAGCGAGGGTAAGCGTTGCTTTTGGTGGCAACGGCTGTCTCAGACACACACACACACACATCCCCGCGTCACATGTGTCGTGTGTCATGGTGTGTCAACCAGAGGACGGACACCCACCCCAACCCTTCGTTTTTCCCTGTTGAGCAGAGCAGAGACGGCCTCAGGCGCAGCTCATTAGTATTTGCCTCAAGTTGGCGCTTGCTCTAATTCCCACCCTGTCCTGTGCTGCCCTTCCCCCCTCACCCCCTACCCCACATCGCCTGCTTACTCGCAGTCGCCACGGCGCCTTACGGCCCGGACGCCAGGCGGTGAATACCCCGATACAGGGATTTGCTGCAGGGGTGAGCAAATGTACTGTTGGCACAAATTTTTGGCGTAGATTCCTTCTGTGCATTTATTTACGCGAAAACTAAATTTAAGTTTGACTTGGCGCGAACGTATTCACAAAACAAAATTACGGTTAGAGTTGTGCTGTCTGCCTCTGCCAGTTTTCAGTAAAACTTTGCTTTAGCTAAATATGGTGTAAAACTAACCGCGACGCGACGCCACTCTGTGTCCCGCACCGGTCTCACCTAGAGGGAGGCGCGCTCGGACTGTCCGGAGCGGCCGCGGCTGGGTGGTCGCATTCCAAAGTGGAGCACCCCAGCCGGGCCGGCCGTCCTCGAGAGACAATCCCGCCAACCAATCAAAGGGCCGCCCCCGCGCCACCCCCGCGCCGCCCCCGCGCCGCCGCGCACGCATTGGGACTCGACAGAAAAATTAAATGCCACGGGTCCTGATGATGATGGGGCTGGAGAGCGGCCGTCAACGCCAGCAACGCGCTGGTGGTGGCCGGAGGGGGAGGGGGAGGCCTCTCCCACCCCCACCAAGTCCTACACCCCCCACCGTTCGGTATCACGACGCGTGCATCCCGCTCAACACACTTTGGCACGGCAGCAACGGGTAACGGTCGCCATCCATATACTGCACGGCCGCAGCAGCACGGCCACCGGCGGCCCGCCCCCGCGCGGCAGCAGGCGGCACGTTTCTTTCCCACGGGCGGCCGCCCCCCTGTCGTGTCAACGCCTCGCCATTCTCTAATTGCCGTCATTAGAGGGATGGAGAGAGATGGAGGTCCTCGTGTGCGCCCCGCCGGTACCGCCTCCGCCCCGCCGCGTGGAGACGCACCCCC